AGAGATGGTGTTTCACTGTGTTAGCCAGGATGGTCTCTATCTCCTGACCTCGTGATCCACCAGCCTCGGCCTCCCAAAGTGCTGGGATTACAGGCATGAGCCACTACACCCAGCCTAACCTATCTTATTACTTAAAAAGTTAAACATAAAAAAGAATATTTAAAAAGTTAAGGTTCTGTAATACCAAACAATATGGCTGTGTCCAAACACTTACTGGCACTATGTATACTACTGAGTAAAGAAATTAAGTGTGCCATTTTCAGAACCTACTGACTCAATTTGTACATAATTTTAACATAGATAAATGACCTTCAATATCTTATAGAAGCATTGCATTTTGAAGAAGGGATGGCTTACTACAAGCAGACACAAAGAAAAAAAGACCAGTGTTTTCCAGGAATCTGGTAGCAAGAGAAAGAAAGGTAAAAATATTCAGAAAGTGAGTAGTGTGGGACTATTTAGAAAAGGGATCAATTTCCCCATGTCCATAAATTGCCCAGAGTGGACGTCACTGAGTTAATTAAGCATATTTAGTAAGATAGAAAAATTTTAAATTTGACTTAGGAAGATTTTAATCAAAAGAAAGATAATAAGTTTATCCAGAATGACATATTTCCTGAGATTCCACAAAACAATGATTTTACTGTACTTACCTGGAGGAGGCAGCTCATAGCCCCCATAACTAATAACACAACAGGTATAGCTTATAATTATATATTTGTTATGTTATTAGTTATGAGGGTTATGAGCTAGTTATATACTAACTCATTTACATTCACTGATAAGTCAACTATGAGGTTCCAACAATCAAATAAATTTCTACCAAAGGCATCTGAAATAATACAATTACTCAGCTCATTTACATATTTTGCTATTATGCTATGTAGTTTTTGACCAGATGGAAGTGATTATTTGTTCTTAAGTAAATAATTGCCCCTTTATTATTGAAAGGAGATGAATATTTTAAAGCAGTAAATACCATTACAAGACCATATGTTTTTTTTATTATTATGGGGACATGATACAGTGATTCTGAGTGTCATCATACAAATCACCCCTTCCTCCTCTGCTCTGCTCCATACCCATTCCACCAAAACACAAGTAGAAAATGGCACTGATCTAGAAAGAATTTAGGTGAATGAGTGTTGATGTCTTGAAAAGACAAACATACATCAGGTATTATGGAATAGAAAGGGTGATTTTACCAGAAAAAGTGTCAAAGATTTTCTTTTGTACCTCAGTGTTCAAGATATGACATAAAATTAGAAACCAATGATGTATACTTTGCATTAAGAACCAAAATCAACCACATTTATTCCTTAGGACAAAAATACAAAGGATTCATCCCTCCACACTCCTTGATGAATGTCTCTCTCCTCCACCCTTCACAAGTGTCAAGTGGAAAAGAAATATTTTGCTGGAGCATCTCAATCCGATAGTCAGGCAGCCAGTCAAACCCCCTACTCCCAAAGCTAGTAATGCTCAGCCACTACTCATAACACACACACACACACACACACACACACACACACACACACACCCCACTACACCATTTCACTTCCTCAAGGAAGAACAAACAACTAGTTTCCCTACATTAACATAGCCATGACCTAAAATACCATAAAAGACGCAAAAATTCTTATTCTGTCCAGTACTTGTCATTTAATGCATGTCAAAACAAATCTATCTACATGTGATAGTAAAATGTCTATTCCTAAATATAGAGCTTCTGTGTCACTTCTATAAACTATTCATTTGTTTATTCCACAAACATTTAGAGAGGATCTACTATATGCTACCTGCTGAGACACAACAATGAACAAAGAAGATTCAATATCTGCCTCATCAAACTTCCATTCTGAAAATATAGACAGACAATAAATAAGTAAACAAATAAAAATAAAATATAAATAAGTAAAATAAAATAATTGCTACTTGTGCTAAAAGACAAGCAGGAAATAAAAAGGGGGTGGCGGTAGAGTAAATGACGATGGTGTGTGTGATAGAGTATTTTAGAAAAGGTTCTGAGTTGGTGACCTTTTGCTAGCTTTGAAAGTTTGAAGAAAAGCATTTTAAGAAGAGAGAATAGTAACTGAAAAGGCCTTGTGGCATGCAAGAGTTTCTAAGAACTATAGAAGACCTGCAACTGGTAGAAGAAGAACAGAATAAAGAGTTAGTTAAAGACCAAGTAATGTAACCCACAATAATAAAATTGGATTTCCAATTTTCTTTCAATATGTTTTACAATAAAACTTGGGAGAATAGCTTAATACAATTTGCAATTTAGAAATATCACCCTGGCTGCTATGTGAATAAATTGGAGTAAGACAACATTGCAGGAAAAAAATACATGGCTTAAACTAACAATACAGCAATAACTATTTGGAGAAAGGAATAATTTGTTTAGAAAATATTTAAGAGATGCAACTGGCAGGATTTATCAGTGGATCATATGTTGCTATTGTCATACTACCAAAGGGAGCTGGAATTTAAACTCCACAATGGCAATTTAAAAATATTGTCTTTCTATCTTCTGTGTCTAAAATGAGGCTCATCCAGCACACTCCAGGTCCTTAATAAAATTGGGCTAAATAAACTATACATACTTGGGTATGCACTGCAACACCCCAAGAAGGGCTGGGAATTGTGCCAAGAAAACCCAAAGCAAGTAATTATGTTTGTGGGAAATTCTTGGGGGAGATAAGCCATTCATGAAGACTGATTTAGGGCATTTTTTTCCAAGGTTGCCATTTTTGAGGGGATGTCTATTCCAAATCAGTGCTTACTCTTAGATCAGTGGTTGCATAAGTTGCTTAAGAAGATTTACTTCATCTTACATCCACCCACCTACTCCTCCTAAGTTTCTGCTCTTTTAACAACTTCTAGAAAATTCCCATTCTTAATCTGCAGGGACATAGTACCTAGAGGATGACTATGAAAATACCAGGGAGTACAGGCCCATTCCCTGTAGGTGAGTAAACTGTGAAATCTCCTCAAGAGAACCAATGCTTTGGGGGAAAACAAGAATCTGGGTGATGCTGAGGTCATGAAATCTTCCTCTATGACAGTTTCTTCGTAGCAACAGAAGGGATTTTAACTAGAATTTTAAGAAATGTTCTACCTCTAAAATCCTATGATTCCATTAAAGTGAAAGTAGGTTGAGAGTAAAATTATCAGAAAGGTAAATTAAGAATGATTTGGCTAGCAATAGGGAGAAACAGTGATGTAATCACCATTGTGGGTATATACAACACTTAGAAATAATGTGAATTAATTTTCCTACTTTTAGGATATTGAGCTCACTTATTCTGTGGGATGGTGAGGAAGGAGTATACAGAAGCGTCTTCACCATATAGATGGGTATATGGAAGCCCAAGGACCTCGAATGTCATAAATAAATCAGTAGCAGAAAATATCAATATGTAGTAATTACATTGATTTTCTGTATGCATTGTTGCGCACAGTAAACTAGGCAAGAAGAAACCATTAGGATCAGAGGAAGGCTGATCTCAGTATTAGACTATTTTGAAGATCATTTGCTGCCTATTTATCTCTTAATATACTTTAATATATTATTATTATATTTAATAATATACTTTAATGTTATTAAAATATGTTAAAATTAATATATAGTAATATACATCAATATATTAAAGTATATTAAAAATATTTTTATATACAATGAATATATATTTTAATATATTCTTTTAATTTACTTTAATATATTAAAGTATATTAAAAATATTTTTA